CACACAAAATAGGATTATTTCGATTACTGTAATGATCGTCTGATCTTCAAATTTATATAGGTATTAAAGTCCATTCTGTCTTTTGCTTAATCTTGAAGTAAATGGAGTTATCGCTTAAATTTTAAGTGTCAGGTATAAATGAGGGCATTCTTAGATCTTGTATTATTTTCAAATGTCTCAGTATTCTCTTGTTATATAAAAATAAATGCAATTTAGTTTATAGTACTGAGATTGAGACAGAGCAGTGCCTGCGTTGACAGTGAAGATGCGGAGGTGAGGCTGGAAGAAGCCGTGTCTCCTTGGGCTTGCGATTACCTGGGTGCCTCCGTGTTGCCTTTTTAGCTTTTGGGTGTTTCACAAAAGCGTTCCTAAACACTTATTTCTAAACTCCTCAATAATTTACCAGTTAAAAATAGCTCAGTAATTTGAGGGGAGCATTGTTTTCAGCAAAGCTGAGCTCCTCTGCTTGTTAGCCTTGAGCAAGCTGCGAATCTCTGCTTGCCTCAGTTTCCCCCATAGGCAAAAGGAGGTTAATAACCACCTCAGAGCTCTTTGAGATCCACTAATGGAAAGCTTTTTGTAAGAATAAAGTGCTGTAATTGTTATTGCTATTATTATTGTACCTGTTCTGTGTGTTTTAAAGCTTAGGGTGATATTCACACTTAAATAAGGCTCCGCGTCTCCTCATTGCAAAGACACTGATGACTCCAGAGGGCGATTCAGACCACCAAAATTAGGCTTTTAATTTTGAAATTATTTCAATCAGGATTGTCCTCTGGAAATTTCAGTCTTTTTCCACTACTTGTAGAGAAAATATAGCAAAGTATAAATCCCATCCCTAAGGCTGGAATTCATCTTGCCGAACTTCAGCAGTGTAGAAGTTAGGTGCCTTGTCTAAGGTGGTGGTTTAAGCTCTTTCTGTTACTGGGGAAGGAGGGGAGATGATGGTGCTCCAGGCTGCGATTTCCAGGCTGAGATTACTTGACCCTGAAGTTCCTCTTTCTGGCTATAGTGGGAGGGAGTTTAGGTGATGAGCTTGGCACTACATGCCTAAATTTAAGAAAGCTAAAGAGAAATAATGACTTAAAAGGACTAAATTCCCCGGTCAGGTTCTGGTAGCTAATATCTTTTGTTTCGTATGATAAAGTACTGCTGTGCTTTGATACACAGCTGTTGCAGCTTCTTATAGGATCGCTGCTTTTAACCAACAGCTAAAATTTTACCATTGATTCCCCTTTTTTGCTTGTGCTGCCATTATAATGAATTAAGGGATAACAGGAGTGTGGATCTTGCAGCACAGTTCAGATGGCTGAATGTTGAGACGTGGCTCTGTGAAAAGCATGTGAGTGGCTAGCAGATAAGAAATTACTGAATTTTCTATGTTGCAAGCTTAAAATAAAAATTGACATGTGTTGACCTGAACTTTTGTGCATGTGGCTTCTGATTTAGTTGTCCTGAGCAGAATTAGTTTTGATGAGCTGTGTAAATTAAGGGAGAATGGGACACTTGGAAATGCTGTCCCCATGATGACCTCTGCCTCTGAATTCTTTAAAAAAAAAAAACCAGTCTTTCCCTCCCCCTGTTAACATTAAATGTCAACAGCTGTATTTTGCTGCTGGTACTTATTAACTTTCAGCCTTGTCTTTTTCAAGCATTTATTGCTTTAGAAATGAATTAAAGCTTATCACCAGGGAAATGCAAGTCTTCCAGCTACCTTGGCTTCTCAAAAGACATGATTTTTCTTAAATAGATTGTTTAAATTACTGACCAGGGAACCTCCTAATTGTGCTACATTAAATTTTGATTCTGGCATGGTTTGTTTTGGTGTCTGTTTTTCCATCTGTTGAAATCCTGTTACAGTCAGTAATTACAAGGATTGGCCCTCTTATAAAGAAAAGATGATAAGTTACAACTATGGTTATAGTTAATCCTTTTACTTTTTCAACCTGAAAGCATTTTTTCACTTATTTCCTAGCTGAAGCCAGTTGTCCTTATTTCTTGGTACCACACATACGCTTTGCGTCGCGTCATCGGATGATCACCTACTTGGCTAGGGAAGTAGTATTTATTTGCAAATTTAACCCCTCCTGTCCCATCCTTGTAGCACTGAAAAGGAAACAGCTTTTGGGAATGAAGGATTTTTAGAGGATTTGTTTTGTATGCCTTCGCTGCAACTTCCATCTAGCTGTAGTTGTCTACAACTTATATATTTGTTTGTTTGGTTTTTTTTTTTTTTAAACACACGTAGGCATTTATTGCTTATTTCTTCATTTGTACATGCTGGGAATCCTAGGATTTGTGCAGCATCGTCGCCGTTATCTTGGCCTCGTTGGTCATTTACTGGTGATAGGTATGGATAACCCTGGTGTCAAGGGCCTTCCATTTCCAAATCTGATCCTGAAAAGCAAGGCTGAGAAAAGCAAAAATAGATCTCTGCTGTGATTGCATTGTAAATAGACAGCTTGTTTTTTCCAGATTGTTAAATTGGTGGCTATTACACTGACAAATATAATTACAGTATGTAAATTATATTTAAAATATTTTTGTCTGTTTGATGTATACTAAATTTAAGCTAAGTTATAAGGTGTGCTGTTTGGAAGTGTGGAAGATACAAGAGTGGAGCTACAGATAACCAGTTTATGCTTGTATTTCCTACTGATGAAGACTTTCACACAAGTTATTTCTATGGGTAGGTGATGAGAATATCACTCTGCATGTATATACATTTATTATACATTTTTGCATGATTATACATGTAGGAGTGGTACAATTTTGACTTGAGACTATTGGTGCCTTTTGTCCAAATGTAATTTTACTTGTGTAGACACGTCTGTCTAAAATCAAATTTCGCTTCTGCTTTTGGAGACCTTAGTAAGAAGCGAGAGGAACAAAGACCTGAAGGAACAATACATAGCTCCTGAAATTTTAGATAACCTATTGAAAAAATGGTCAAATAGTCAATATTGTACTTGACCCTCGTATCTTCTGCACTCGACTGTTTGTTTTTATAGATCACATTATATATGTTCACGCTGAACTCTGATGATAAGACTGAAAGAAAACATGCCTCTCATGATTCAGTCCAGTTGTAACTTCTGCATGTAATTTAATCATCGGCTTTCACAAATAATTAACTGAACATCAGCCAGCTTAATTTTGAACTTGGAATTCCATTATTTTGTAATTGCCTTTTAAAAAGACAAAGATTGCCTTTCAGTTAATTATCGGGACTCCTTTTCCAGTCATATTCATCAGCGTTTCATGTTGCGAACAGTTTGGTCTTTAATACATTGGCATTTAACTACCCATTTGTTTTTGTCGGGTCTGTTTTAAGTTTGTAATATAACATTGTTTTATGAAATTGTTGTTTTGGAGGCAGGTCTGATCGGAAATGTTTTGTGAATTTCTTCATACCTTGTTGCAAAACTGATCTTTAGTACGACTTAAGCAATATGGTCACTCTTTAATGAAGCGTGTTGCTAATCACAAAATAGGCGTTTCTTAAAATAGTGGATTGAATTATGTTTTGGGGACCAAGTTACAAGGAAAAAAAACCAAAACAAAACAAAACCAAAAAAAGCCCACCCTAAAAACCTCAGTAGAAACAGCTTTTCAGAGAACTAAATTTGAAACTTTTAGTTCATCATGTTCTTTCTGTCTTCAACAGGCACTTAACACTCCTAAAAGAAACCAATCTTTCCTGAAAAGTCTTTTCTTTTTATTCTTTGTGACTTTTAAAGATTTCTTTAGTCATTTTATAATTCTGAAGGTCCTATCTTCCTAAACACATTACTAGTTTATGATTATTTTCTATTAATCCATACAAATTATACCCTCTGTGTATCATACCCATAACAAAAAAGTTCTGCGGCCACTCAACTGGCAGAACTTTGGAGTTAAAGAATTGCAGTAGCAAAGCAGCTGAGCTTTCGCCCAACCCGTTTTTCATATTTGTTTTTGTGGAGGAAACGTTGGCCCAAAGAAAGTTTTGATTCAGCCATTTGGGGAGTGGGAACTCCAACCACTTTCATTCACTCTGAGTCGATAAGCGATAACTGAGACGAGGCATTTGAGTTAAAATGTGCATCCTTTCAGAATTACAATATTTATCCGTTCTCTCTTTGCTTCCACATTAATCCTTGGTTTGAATTTGACTTTTTTCTGAGCCTCTTCTGTTTCTAGCATGTTTTCCAATTATAAGTGATTTCATTCCTCACAAAGAAAATAGTCCATCCTAACAAAATAGACCAAAAATAGCTTTTTGTTATTCCTCAAGAATAGACTTCAGAATCACGTAAGGAATGTTCTCTCCCTCTTTCCCCCTTCACTTTGGTGGCCAAAAATGCATATGGTAAATCATACTGAATTAAAAGCATATTTATCACTGCACATTATAGTTTTGTTTCTTGTTATTCTTGATCTTAAAAAAACAACACCAAAAAACATTGCCATTTTGAAAAATTCCCCTGTCCTTGACAGGTAAATGTTGTGAAAGGAAAGTTGCCTAATGTTAAATTTATTGTCACTGGATCAGTTATATCAAAAAGTTAGTTTTATTCAATCAACCCTGAAGTAATGTAAGCTGTCACTTGAGTTTTGTAAAATTCTTTAGATAAATATCTTGTCTTGCCAAATTTAATGTCCTGTAACTTATTTTTTATTTTAAACTAAAGGTTTTATCCTTTTAAGATTGTAAATGTAACGTTGTCAGATATGGAGATGTTTATGTGTTAATGTAAAAGGTAATACACAAATAACTGATACATTGATAAACGTGTTTTTCTTACATTTGTGTTTTCTGTGTATGCAAAGGTTAAAATGTCTCTGTAATCTCAGACTATGTTCATTAACTGAAGTTTAATAATTCGTATAATTTATAGTTCTTTAAGAGCTTGGTGTAGGAGATTGCATTAATCCTTAAACAAATTATTTGTACTTTTAAAGGTGTCTTTCACAGTATGCTGACTTCTAATACGCGTTGCTTTTCTCTCCTTCTGCAGATGGACCTCCAGTTGTAGCTCATTATGATATATCAGACACAAATTCAGACCCAGAAGTGGTAAATGTGGACAATCTGTTGGCGGCTGCAGTAGTTCAAGAGCACAGTAATTCTTTAGGAAATCAAGACTCGGGATCTACCTGGAGAACCAGAGGGCTGCTAGATGAACTGAGTGCTGATACAGGTTTGTTTAAATTCTCTTCCTCTGACATTTGTTCCAGCATCTCAGTTGGTGTCTCTCCCTTTCTTGCTTTCAGTATTTTTAAAATACTTTAAAAAGCTTTGAAAGCTCCCTGTGTGGATTTTGCAATAAAACAGTACAGGTGCTTATTAAAAAGATCTGACATTTATTCCAAAATACAACTGATAAAAATTGACAAAGAGTCTTGCAATGGATTTTTGGCACTAATTTTCTTAATTAATTTTTCTCCATCTTTTCCCTCTAATTACTTCTTGGAACTTAGGTCTGGGATTTTGGTGTTGGCTTTTTTAAAATGAAAATGAGCTAAGCTTGTTACTGAACAGTTGATTATGACGACCCATGTCACCAGCTAGTAAACGGATCATAATCTCATTTTAAGTATTGTAGCTGTCTGTGTATGTCTTTTTTGTTTCTCTTTATTTCTTTAAAATGCAAGCATTAATTATTCCCATATTCCATCTGCATTTCTAACATACCTTAGAAAATCGGACAGACCAGCATTAGATAAAGATGAAGGGTGAAAAGGTGCTGGTAAGTGGGCTTAGCAAAGAAATTTCCTTCAAGAAAGCAAGAGCAGGAATACTGTGGCAGAATTTGGAGAAGTTCACGTAGCTTATAAAAATTGTTCAGCTTCACTAAGTGCTTGCAGCTCTTCACTAATAAGAGAGTTAAACAACGTTAAATGCTACTGTGTTTTGGATGCAGAGAGCTAACAGGGAGTATTTCCTATCGACTTCATCCCGTAGCCTTGTATGCCAACATATTGCCTTCCTTTCCATTCATTTTTTTTAATAGCTGTGTTAAGATTTTTAGCTGCATAAGACACAGAGTCTTGCCTGCAGTGGTGGAGCACAGCAGTGTTCTGTTTCGTGCTGTGTTTTCCAAACATAAGCCTACCGAAGGGCATCTACATTGGCAGTGTCCTGGTAGCTCTGAGCTGTTTCAGTGTCTGTAAGGCTTAAAGAAATACAAGTATGTGGCAGATTTTTAAAGAAATGTTCCATTATTGTATAGTGGACAAGTCCATTATTTGAATATGAGAATATCTGTTGCATTATTTTCACTGTGGTCTGTGGCTGGATGTTGTTCCAGCCTTTTTGAAGCTAGCCAGTGTTTTCCAAGCTCACTGGTAGTGTTCGCAGGATAGCAGCTGACTGATAGTTAGCTATTTGACCCCTAACAAGCCCACTCCTTTATAAAGTGATTTATTAAACGATTAGAACAGCTGAAATTAACTTTATTATATAGCACTAATGGATTGGTACTTCAAAGGAGTGTAAGGAAATAAAAAGTAATGTTTCTTACCAAGCTTTCTTCCACTTTCCGCTTACGAGCACAATGCTGCGATGCAGGTAGAAATTTGTCTCCTTTCCTCCACCTGTATCCAAGGGGACTTGCAAGGAAGGGGTTGCCAGGTAAAAGAAAACTAGACAACTTCAAGAAACTTCTTCATCCCTGACCCTATGGGAACGTGTCCAGACAAAATTTGCTCCCGGTGCTACGGCCATTTCAGCGTCTGAAAGGATGAATCTCTTTTTCTTCCTGCATACACCTTGCCCCAGAGCCCTGTAGCCTCCATACACCTCTGACTGCACATTTGTCAGTACTGGCCTTTTCTTACCATGTCTGGGATTGCACATTTGGAAAGCAGAATTTTCAAATCTTACATCTTGTTCCCAAATTTAATCTTCAGCCAGTATCTAGTTTAACAGACATTAAATGAGATGTTCCCATGGGAAAATAACAACATAAGCTTTATCTAAGTGAAAAATCTTATTAGGACACACTATCACATCTTTGTGCATGGGCAAATATTTTGGGTTGTTTTGCAAGCCCTGATGTTGTAGGGCAAACAAAGCATCTCCTTTGGGCGTCATCCTAATGTTCGTGCAAAGAAATTAATAGCGTAGGCATGTTATTAGGCATGAAATTTGTATGGCCAGAGGCTGTCAATCTATCTCTATGCTATAATCCTGATTTACACTCAGCTACTGTTGCAATATTTACTCTGCTAATCATGGTTTCCCTACTGCTAATTACCTTTTTGTTGTCTGAACTTAAAGCTATGGAAATACATGAAAGCTCTTTTGGGGTTCTCATTTATACCTCTGGGGATTCATTTGGGGGCTAATTAAGAGGTGGTCTGCTTTGCCCCTCTGCCAGACATAACCCTGTCCAGCAAAGGGTGCAGAATGGTGGTAATGTCATTAATGCATTAATACGACATATTAAGGCAGGTTGATATCCATACCAGTGAATCAATGACCGAGGATCGTGTTGCTGTTCTGCTGCCTGTGCTGTAGCAGCAGTGACATTCAGGAGCGGGGCGATGCGCATCACTGGGGTGGTGATCACGCAAAGCTCCCGGTTGGCATCGCCGGCACCTGAATCAAAGCCTCTGAGCACTTCCATGTCACGTTCCGCAGTGTGCCCAGCCGCTTCCGTTAAAGAAATATCCATGACCCATTTTGGGACTTTCTGGCGGTCAGCGATATTTGCCAAGAAATGTTCAGCTGAACTGTAATGTTAGGAAAAGTCTGCCTGGGCTATTAATTCGTTTTAAGTTCAGCTGACAGATCTTTTTTTATTTTGTGCGGTGGAAACTCCTCCTTCGGGTACGTGGCAGCACCCAGGTTTCCTTCCCTTGCTAACCCTTAGCCAGAGGTTGCACCAAGGGTCTTTGCTTTCCAAAAACTGAACATACAGTCTGGTCTCTGCCCCTCTATTTGCTTGCATCTTTTCCAAGTACTTAAAGCACTCACTAGAAGGTTTCCCTGGCTCTTGTTTTAAGTTTAATTTCTTCTCTCTCTGTCCTCTCGATCTACCTGGGGGTATCATCAGTTCTGCATGTTTGTGCACCTTTGAAATTCAGTGGATCGTTATTGCATTTTCCTCCTCTCATCTTTGAAGAGGTGTCCAGTCAAACTAGATATACATAATATATTCATCTAATCTCAAATTTCCTGCTCGACAAATGATTCTTCCCCTGTGTAATACAGCTGAGTGAGTGGTTTCCAAGAAGCAGGTAGTGTCATCTGCTTCAGGGCTGCCCAGCATCCCCCGGGTTACTGCTAAAGAGAGACAGAAGAAGTAATCTTTTTTTTTTTTTTTTTTTTTTAGGGGAAAAAAGGTAGAAGTAATCTCTTTTTATTGCAATCTTTTTTTTTTATTGATTTTTTAAAATTGTTTATTTTCTGTAAAACAAATAGTGATTTTGGCTGGTTTGTGTTTTCCATGCAAGTATTATTTAATATGTCGCAACACAGCTTCACTAATTGCGGTGAAGAATCTTCTTAGCAGTACTTGGCAGAAAAGACAAAACCTGCCATGCTCGTCGTGAGTATTTAGAAAGGACTTGTTGTGTGACAGATTGATGAACTGGATAGCATTGAGGAACTGTAATAAAAAAACAACACTGCCGTATATGGCATTTAAAAAAAACAGATTTTTTTTCTTTTTCCCCCAAGTATTTGTAATAATGTTAGAGCAGATGTGTGAAGCAGCGCGACCAGAAACTGATGGGTTTGTTGGCTTTTTTTCATTGACCCATTTCCCCTGGTTTTTTGTTAGTTTGTGGTTTTGTTGTTTTTTTTAAAAAAAAAGCATTTTCATTTTCCTTGGGGGGTGTGTGATGTTTCTGTCCAGCTTATAGGCTTTGTTTGCCGCAGTATCATTGAGTTTGATTTATTGACAATAGATTGTCTTGTTTCTTTGTTTCAGAGAGGTTTAGGGACAGTCTAACTCTTAGCATTGTTGTAAAATAACAGCTGGAAAGCCTAGTTACAGCAAGTGTTCTTGATGCAGTCGTCGGGCTTTGTTCACATGTGTGTGATAACACCATCCCTAGAGCTGTTGAGACTGGATAAATCCAGTGGTCATCCTGTATCAGGTGATGAACTGAAAGTTGGATAACTTGATCTAATAAGATTATCCAATTTCAGGGTCTCAAGTCTTTTTTTTTTTTTTTTTTTTTTTTTTTTTTTTTTTTTTGTTAGCTTGGGAAATTCCCTTTCCAGCTGATTCTGAGTTGTGTAAGCTGTTAAACATTGGCTGTATTTGCATTTTCCCCGTCTGTAGGTCATTTGGATCCAGGCTTCCTTGCAAGTGACAAAACCTCTTCTGGTAACGCCCAGATCAATGAAGAAATTAATATCGCCTCTTCTGATAGCGAAGTAGAGATTGTTGGAGTTCAGGAACATGCCAGGTATGAATTCCTTTTTCTTGCTCTAATATTTCTTTCATTTTATCAGAATATCTGTATTGCCAAAATTAATAAAGAAGAAAGCTGCTGATTTCCACTTCTGTAGTTATCCATCCATGATTGATGCCCAAAAGGTAGCAAACGTTGCACTTGTTTTTTGTATTCTGCTGGTCACGGTGATAGCAGAGTGTGTTTTTCTTTAGAACATTATCAAATTCATATGTATTCAGATTAAGCTTGTGATTCGATATCAAACATTAACAGGCTAAACATATGTAGTATTAAAATACCAAATATCAAGATACCAAATTTATACACATCAGGAATTCAGATTTTAAGGGCACAGTGTGAATATGCAAATACATAAACAAAAATATGTATATGGATTCTTGTTTCCTTTCAAAATATTCACTTACTTTAATCATTTAATCAGCTTCCAGTTTATTTAATTGATCAGTAGTTGTAAAAATACTATCAACTTTTCAATGGCTAATGTCATAACATAGCCCCTTTAGATTAAAAATCGGATCCTTATGAATCTTGGTTTTATTTCAAGATACAAGCGAATTCAAACCCCCAAAGTAGATGAGGGTAAGGAAGCCAGAGGTTTCTCTCAAGCTCAGAGAGAAAGCTGTCCAGCTGTGCTTCAGCTGTTATTCTTGATAGGCATTTTTTGATGTTACTCTTCATCTTTAGTCTGTGATCCCTCCTTGGCTTAAGGTATTACGAAGCGGTTGAACAAGACCGGCATTTTCATACAGTATGGAGGGTTTACTTGGTGGAATAAAAGCAAGTTAAAGCAGTATACAGACAAGCTCGTTCTAAAACTAGTCTGCTGCCTGGTGGATGCTTGGAGGCGGAAAAGGGGTGTGAGGGGCAAGGAACAGAGCTGTTCCTCGCTGTCCCTTCACTGCATCTTTCCTGAGGGAGGGAAGAAGGCAGGTGTACAGGACCCGATTTCCCAGGCAGGAAACCGTACAGATAGTGCGGGCACAATCCAGTGCTGTTGGATGTGAAAAAAGGAAGTTTTAAGGTGCTGAAGGAAGGGAAATTTAGTCTTCGCTTTTAGAATAGTGAAAGTCCTTGCATGGCTAACTCTTCTGGAAGATGCTCATTCCTTAGGATGTAGCTCTCCTGGCTGTTTATCCAGCAGACCCAGGGCTTAGAGGATCTTTGTCCTAATGATAAGCAGTGTGGACTTGTCTTCCACTACTAGTTCGGGTAAATCTGTCTAGCACTACGTACACACAACACTTCTGGCTGTTCAAAAGCTTTCTGTGCTGCTTGCCTCCATAATATTTACCATGTACAAGAATGGAAATGTTAAGTAAATGCAGAGCTGCTCTTTAAAATCAGTTTATCTGCCATCTCCTGAAGGCTAGTTCTTACTGGTTCCATTGCATACTCACACATTTCAGTTGTTCGAATCCTATTTAGAATTTTATTTCTCTTGCAGGTCTAGGCTTGCAGTTATGAAGTGTTGATGGGCTTCTGACAGGGTTGTCGTTTGGAAGAGGTTTAGGTTTTTGATCAGTATTTTTTGCATGCTTAGTTAGTATGGTGTTTGGATTCAGTTCTTTTGCTCACACTGTTCTTTATCGTGCTGCATATTCCATGTCGTCGTTGGACTGGTGTGAGTTGTGACACCCTAGAATTTGTCCATCATTTGTAGTTTTTCAGATTGCTAGTGAATTGGTGTTTCTCATCATTGGAATATTACTTAGGACCTTTTGGTCTACTTAGGACCCAAAGTCATGTTTTTCAGTTTGTATAATTTTTGTCCAATAGATTTTTTTTTTTTTTTTTTAATCAGGCATGTGTATAAAACAGTCTTCCTCTGTTTTTTCTCTAGGGTTTTTTTTTTCTTTTTTTGGTTGCCTTTACTTGGTATCTTCCCCTTAGCTACAGATTGGAAAGCATGTTCCCTAAGCTAATGTTTGATTGAATGTTTTGCTGTTGGCTGCTTCTGTGACTTGTTTGAGGATAAACACTTATTTTTGTGAGGTATCATTTCTGTGAGATAACTTATAGCTTGCTTTTTGTCATCTTCAGGGAGAAAAGTTAGTATTGCCTAAGCATTGAGGACTGTTCTGTATCAGAACGATGGACCATAGTCCCTGAGACCAAACATCATATTTAGTTTGCTTTGGCTACGAGCTTTTCTTGTCAGTTATGCTTAAAAATATTTCTTCTTAAAAGAAAGCTTTTTAAAAAAAAAAAAAAATCCCCTACATTTGTTAGCGTTCCAGTCTCTTACTACTAATTCTTTGTAGATATGTAGTTTAAGTATGTATTTTTAAGACTGAAGAAGTAATAAAAAAGTCATTCTGAACATCACATCCAAAACTAAATAGCATATCTGAGAAGGAAATGAGACATTTATATTCAGAGAAGTTAGAGCTCAGAGAATGAGATTTTTCATTCTATTTCATGAAACTCTAACGAGAGCCAAGAGAGATGAGCATAACCTAAGTAGTTCCGGAGAAAATAAATTGCGCTACATTAAATTAAAACAAATAAAATGTAAATGTCAGGGATGTCACTAGGAAACTTCCTAGCCTGGTACAGCCCTCGGACTATTACCCACTACTGCTCTTCCGTGTGACTGGCCATGAAGCCGCAACGTGTAGTCCAAGGGCGATCAAAAGAGACTTCCTTGGGACGGTTGGTGAGGGAATCTGGAGCACAGATTATTTTTAACTCTCTCCTTCCAGTTGTGGGCAGCGACATTGGAAGAAACAGAGGCACCCAGTCTATTAATACAGGGCTCTGTGGCTGTGTCACCGCCGCAATTTCAGGTTTTTCCATAATGGGATGGCCTACACGGCACCAGGCTTGCTGGCATCAGATGGGATTCACCTTTCTCAAAGGGGGAAGAAGAAGGTCTTTGCTCACGAGCTAGCGGGGCTCATTGACAGAGCTTTAAACTAGACTTGAAAGGGGAGGGGGATAATACCAGGCTTGCCTGTGACAAGCTGTGGGATGACATGCCAAGGTTAGAGGGATGGGGCGCTAGAGAGGGCCCTCAGCCCATTGCTCTGAGACGTGCTGGGTACACTGGAGCACACTTGAAGCCTTACGGAGATGAGCCAGGGGCTCCTGAGGTAATAGGAGCCAACAGGGAAACACCAGTGAAATACCTCAAAGGAATTAAGAGGTGTTTCTCTAAGAAGGTGACTCGGCCGACAGCCCAGCTGAAGTGCCTCTACGCCAATGCACGCAGCATGGGCAACAAAGAGGAGGAGTTGGAAGCCACCGTGCTGCTAGAAAGCTATGACCTAGTTGCCATTACTGAAACTGGGTGGGATGAATCCCGTGACTGGAGTGCAGCTATTGATGGCTACAGGCTGTTCAGAAGGGACAGGCGAGGAAGAAGGGGCGGAGGGGTTGCCCTCTACATCAAGAAATGGATAGAATGTGAAGAGCTGTCTCTGAAGAATAGCCACAAGCAGGTTGAAAGCTTATGGGTGAGAATTAAAGATCGAGGCAACAAAGGGAACCTTGTGGTCGGTGTCTACTATGGGCTGCCCGATCAAGGGGAGCCTATTGACAAAGCTTTCTTACAGGAGGCATCACACTTGCAGGCTCTTGTCCTGCTGGGGGACTTCAACCACCCCAACATCTGCTGGAAAAGTAGCATGGCGAGCTGTAGGCAATCCAGGAGACTCCTGGAGAGCACTGAGGAAAACTTCATAAGCCAGGTAATAGACAGCCCTACCAGAGGAGATGCGATACTGGACCTGTTGGTCACCAACGCAAGTGACCTAATCGGTGATGTGAAGATTGGAGGCAGCTTGGGCTGCAGTGACCATGCACTGGTGAAGTTCGCAGTCCTGAAGGATATGGGTCAGGCAAAGAATAAAGTCAGGACCCTGAATTTTAGGAAAGGAAAATTCCAGCTCTTCAAGTTGTTAGTCAATAGGACCCCCTGGGAAACTGCCCTCAGGGACAAAGGAGCAGAACAGAGCTGGCTGGTCTTTAAAGATGTTTTCCATAGAACGCAAATGCTCCTCGATCCCCAGGTCTAAGAAACTAGGCAAAGGAAGGCAAGAGACCAGCATGGCTGAGTCAAGACCTGCTGGTCAAACTAAAGGGCAAGAAGGAAATGCACAGGCAGTGGAAGCAGGGACAGGTATCCTGGGAAGAGTATAGGGAAGCTGCCAGGTTGTGTAGGGATGGGATCAGGAAGGCCAAGGTGCAGCTGGAGCTGAACTTGGCAAGGGACGCAAAGAATAATGAGAAGGGCTTCTATAGGTGTGTCAGCCAGAAAAGGAAAGTAAAAGAAAGCATACCCCCTATGATGAGCAAGACTGGCAAACTGGTAGCAACGGACGAGGAGAAGGCTGAGGTACTCAACAACTTTTTTGCCTCAGTCTTCACTGGCAACCTCTCTTCCCACACCTCCCGAGTGGATGGACCGCAAGGCAGGGACTAGGGGAGCAAAGTCCCTCCCACTGTAAGAGAAGATCGGGTTCGTGACCACCTGGGGAATCTGAACATACAGAAGTCTATGGGACCTGACGAGATGCATCGCAAAGTCCTGAGGGAATTGGCTGATGTAGTTTCCAAGCCACTCTCCATGATATTTGAAAAGTCATGGCAGTCAGGTGAAGTCCCTGGTGACTGGAAAAAGGGAAACATTACACCCATTTTTAAAAAGAGTAGAAAGGAGGACCCTGGGAACTACCAACCTGTCAGCCTCACCTCTGTGCCTGGGAAGATCATGGAACAGATCCTCCTGGAAGCTATGCTAGGGCACATGGAGTACAGGGAGGTGATTTGAGACAGCCAGCATGGCTTCACCAAGGACAAGTCCTGCCTGACCAACCCAGTGGCCTTCTGTGATGGAGTGACTACATCAGTGGACAAGGGAAGAGCTACAGATGTTGTCTATCTGGACCTCTGTAAGGCCTTAGACACGGTCCCCCACAACATCCTTCTCTCTAAATTGGAGAGGTATGGATTTGATGGGTGGACTGTTTGGTGGATGAGGAATTGGTTGGATGGTCGCATCCAGAGGGTAGGGTCAATGGCTCAATGTCCAGATGGAGATCAGTGACGAGTGGTGTCCCGTAGGGGACTGTACTGGGACCAGTACTGTTTAGTATCTT